AAACGCAGGTAGATGGGTCCAATTCTAATTCCCACATCTAGTGGAAAACAACTGAATGAGAACTGGTACCTCTGGCAGATCTTTGGCATATTGTTTAAATAAAAATAAATAAAATTAAAAGGCAGCTCTATCCCAGCATACACTTAGAACTTCAGCAAAGAAGACACACAATATAGATATAACACATGTTCTTTTACCTATCAATATCTTCCAGCTTTTCATCAATGAGAGGTCCCATCTGGTGACACATTGCTAAGATAACAAGATTTAAAGAAATATAAGAAAACACAGCAAAGAAAAGCTTATCTGTGATAGATACTCATATAAGCAAGACTGGGTCATAGAAGAATGAGAAGTGTTCACATTTTTTTATATCATTTTAAATTTTATTTAAATATAAAACCATTCTGTAACAGAACACTATAGACAAGCTCTAATTATTCTTTACGTGCAAGGTTAATGGAAAACAAAGTTTACCTTCAAGATGAAGTAACTCTGGAAGATCTGGTTGGTCATCACTGGGATCTGTACTCTGCAACATCTGTAGCAACTGGTCCATTTTGTCCTACAAGAATTAAATAGTTAATACAAAAAGCAACAAATCATTATGCAACAATATGTTCTCATTTCATTAATTAGATAATGGATGAAAAACTTTTATATTTCATACAGAGACTCCAATTTTGCTTTTATGTATTTACTATCCACGTATTCTCTTTAGTACCAAGTGAAGTCAGAGCCTTGAAAGCTCTTCCTACTTATTTTTCAAACTGCTCACGGAGACTCTCTTATATGAGAAGAAGAGAGCCATATTTCAACTTACAACGTGTGAGTTCTTCGATCTGTTATGTCATGGTTGTGGATTTCCGTGTCACTTTGTTTTGGAGCAGCTGGTACCCTTGCCATGCTGACAGGTGTAACTTCGCTCTCAAGATGGCGTTACCTATGACTAACAGCTCAGTTATTACTTCTCCACCATGGCGAATCCAGCAGCTGCTTTAGCAAGGCACAGCTCAGCTATAGTACAGCTCTTCTTCTAAGTAGGGCCATAAGATCTTATTCTATATTTTCTTCCCACCAATGTTTCAGTCTGTCATAAAGGAAGCAGTAAGATTGTGGCTTCTCTCCTTTCCTATGTAGGGAAAGGCTGGAAGGATCTCAAAGCAAGGACTCAGATCTATCACAGATATTCCCTTGCAAAAACCAATGCACCTAATGAAACCATCATTACATAAACACATCTATATATTACGCAAGTACATATGTACTTAAATTTAAATTTTTAAAAATCAAAATACTGATCTCATGTACCAAAGAATGATAGTGTAATAATTACGAACTTCTCTCCATGCATGGTTCTTACATGGTTATATTACTAAACACAGGTACATTAGGTAAACACTGTAAAAGACTACCAATTCTAAGCAGTCATTTAAACTAAAACCAAAATGCTATTTCTGGGGCACCTGGGTGGCTCAGTCGGTTAAACGTCCGACTTCAGCTCAGGTCATGACCTCACAGTCCATAGGTTTGAGCTTCGCATCGGGCTCTGTGCTGACAGCTCAGAGCCTGGAGCCTGCTTCAGATTTTCCCTCTCTCTCTCTCTCTCTCTCTCTCTCTCTCTGCTCCTCCCGTTTGTGCTCTCTCTCAAAAATAAGTAAATTATTTTTAAAAATAAATAAATGCTGTTTCTGCAAAGAACAGACTGAGAGATGAACTAATCACTGGATGGTGAAAGTCGCACAAGTACATAAAAAACTAAAGTCACAAGAATTTTGTATTTTGAAATGGTTACCAGTTTTTAATGTAAAAGATTCACAATTTTCATTTTAAATAGTCTAAAACAGAAGGCGTGCTACAGAAAAGACTGCTTATAGCAAAACAAAAGTGGGGGGAGAAGGGGGGTAATGTGACAGTCAACTAACATGTGGATAATTTTTGTTTTAAACACTACACTGTATTTGAAATTACCTAGAATCCAAGACATGAGGTTTATTATACGGACCACCAGGCTGATTCTACACGCATTTTCTTATGTAATGCAACTGGCCAAATGTTAAGTTTCCCTAACCCCGTCAAATTCCCTGGCTCTCAGCACAATCTCCAGTCGGTTTCTCTAAAAGAGCACTCTTCAAACTTTGTTTCCGGTTCCCTCCAGAAGAAGGCTAAAAACCTATAAAATCCCTTCACTTATTTTAAAGATGACATATCATTTTTCATAAGTTTAAGATATTACAAAGGATGTAATTTCCAGAGCATTAAATAATGATCTTTGTAAATGAAACAGTCATATATTCTATTAACTATATTCAATCCAAACAAAAATCCACTACAATAGTGTTTGTAATAATCAAAAAACCTCAAAAAACTGCAAACAACCTAAGGGTCCAATAGAAGAATAATTAAATCATGCCAAGTCCATTCTATGGAATATTAAGCAGAAATTTTAAATAATGAGGTACAGAATAAGACTACAGAGACAGTTTCAAGGAGAATCTTTGCTTTGTCTATATTGTCTGAATTTTTATAACATAAAATACATGCATTAATCAAGTAATCACTTTTTTTAAAACAAGACAAGTATTTCAACTTCAATACCAAGTACGAACCACTTTCACAGAAGAAATCACTTACTTCATCAATAAAGGCTTGTTCCGGTTCTGGCTCTATTGTTTCTACCTGAACATCATCACTAAATTGTACCGTCTTCTTCTCCGTTTTAACTGCAAAACATGTAATATTCACCTTTTCCTTATAAGAAATTTAAAATTCTATTTCAAAGCACTTCAAATTCTATGAGAGAATCTGGATTTTTCTTAATATTCCCTTCGATCTGGGAGACTTAGTTTAAGGGATCATTAAGACAACAGATTTAGACAAAAATGACAGAACATTATTTTGTGGAATTCCGTGAAGATTTCTTAATTTTCTCTTCTAAGATTTTACATTTTCCTGAAAAGACACTTCACTAAAAATAAAAGGGATATTTCCAAAGCAAAGATTAATCACTTACTACATATGAGAATTTAGTGAACTGGTGGGCAAAAAGTTAAGTTTTAGAAGTAAAGTTCTTTTACAAGTAAAGTTTTACATAAATGAACTCTGCAATCAAAATAAACTCTCTTTTAAATTACCAGTCAGTCCTTTCAAAGAAAAACCTCATTTGAAAGACCACACTATTACATTGTAGTGAACTGGAAAGTGAGGCATATGTTTTTTTGGCATGCCGTTCAGTGTTTTTACTAAGAGAATCAATGACATCCGGGTCAGTGGAGGACTTTACAAGTAGCACTGGCAGTGATCTGAATTTTCCACTAAATCGGCCTACATTTTTTAGTTGCATTACTCTCTGAAATAACACTGTGGTTATGAAGGGACCTGCAAACCACTGACCAGACGCACATTATTTCTCTTGCTCAACAAAGCAATCTTTAAAAACTATTCAATGTATCATTAACTAGTAAATACAAGGTTATGATTAATACAGCAATTAACCTTCTCCCCACAAATCCTGAGAGGTCCATACAGCTTTAAAGGAATGAACTTTCTGTATTTTTCATCCTTGTATCAATGTGGTCAATTGGTATTCATAACAATGTTAAGAAGAAACTATAAAAAGGGGATTGGGAACAGAACAGAAGTAAGGAAAGGAAATATATTATTAAACTATTTAATGTGTGTAATAGAATATTACATTTCCCCCCAGTGACTCTCTTATACTAGGAAATACGCCCATTTTAAAATGAAGTTAACAGCAGCACAGTAATATTAAAAGTTCGTGCACGGGAGAAAGCTAATGTATGACACAGCCTGGATCTGAATGCCAGCCTATCTGGCTCTACCAGTCCGCGTGCTGGAATCTGGCCAATGATTTTACTCTGACCACAGGAGCTCCTATCACTCATGTATTCTGTATTGTGTGCTTCTGTATAAAATGCAGATAATGTAATCTCCGACGTAAGGAATACATTCATTCCACGTAAGTCACCATAAAGCAAAATTCTATACAAAACACTTTCAGCTGGTTTCATTTTCCCTTGGGGGTAAAAGAGACATGTGCTAGAGATATTTTTGCTTTTTATATCTTGAGCTATTAACAAGTAGGAAGCTGGGAAAGCATGCATTGGCTGCTACCCATAAGAGAACACACGGAGGACTCGACATCGTGCCAGCCGACCATGTACAAGTTGTCAGTGTTTTTCTCACAGGCACCAATACTATTACTACGCACGTGTGCACGTCTGCGTACAGCGTGTGTGCACGTGCGTATGTGTGTACGTGTATACACATGTGCACGAAACAAACTGTTTTCACAGTATCTACCACACTTCCAAAGAAAAAACAAGCTAAGCAGGGTGGGTACTTCTCCTTGCCATTAAGTAAAGTGGGCTTCTGATTCCTCACAAAGAATAGCATGACGACGATCATGCTAACACTGCTTTCCCAAGTTCAATAACTACATTTCTATGACAGAAGCTCTGCTGTTCCAGTTCTCCTCTTTACAGAAGTCCGGAGAGAAACACAGGAAGAAGAGCTAGAGTATTCATTTTAACGCTGCACTCTACACGATGGGGGACAAGATGAGACGGCTACATGATCGATACAAGATCTTGGATCTCAGATTGAACACAAGTCCAAGACCATTCTATCCTTTCCAACAGCTGATTCAGGACAAAAACAAAAAACCCAAACACCCAAAAAACAAATTAAAACAACCACCACCATAAACCCAGGTTAAAAGGCCGGCACACAATACACTGCCATCTTAAATAGGTCCTACGACATATTTCTTGGGTTCTAACAAAAAAGAACGACATTATTAGGACGGGTAGCAGGAATCTGTCTCCGCTGTAAATCTGTCATGAAATGACACAAGATAACCTGGCAATCATCAGAAGACAGCATCGTTTCATCACAGATAAAAGTAGTATCTGATTTGCTGTTAAAGCCTTCTCTTGAAAGAAAAGTGTTCCTGTATTTTTTCAAGAAAAGTGTATGTGTTGTTTTATGTATACATATATATGTACATATGTACGTATATACACACATACTTATGTATCATTTACTGCATAAATATTTATATAGTCTATATTTTGGGTAAGATTCAGTACTAGTTTGGGTAAGATTCATTCCAGTTGCTGGAAATGAAAAGGTGACTAAGACAAAGATCCTTCTTTAAATTCTTGTAAACTAAAAAAGACCTAAGCATCTTGCAATTTGTAACTTTCTTTGACCCCTCGTACTCACATTATAGAAAGATGAGATATTTTGCCAGCTAACTATAGCCTACCAACTTATATACAAAAGCTCTTTTAAAATTCTAAACCTTTCAACCACTAATAGAAACCTTTCTACACTAGAATATATTTCTCATTTATGACCTAATCTTGGTGACCCCAACTCATCATTATGAAGATTCAGTGAACTATAGTATTATGTAGAAATATAGTGAACTGCCTACAAACATTTTGGCGGGCTACCAATACTTACATCTCCTGCAACTATTATGCCTGCCCGTAACATCACTTTTCCTGCTAGGCCCCACTTTCTAGTTTACTTCCCTTGGTAGCACAGGTTTGGAAAGTAAACAGAAAGTTTTCATAAGATTAGTTATGGCTCCTTCTGACTATCTGACATGAGGTCTTAGGAAAGCCATTCATTATATTACTTACAGGCCAGTGCCTCCAAGTTTGGGGCTAGATGCTAAAGAAATGGCTTTAATCTTTGAACAGAAAGAATTCCTATGAGATTATACTGCATGTGTCACACTTCAGGAACCAATAATGAAAATACCTAACGCATAAATTTCATAACACTTCTTAATCTGCGTTTTTACAATGGTATATATATATATAATGTTTTAAAAGAAAAATCCATAGGCTGCACAATTACCTGATTAAGGATAATCTTGGTAGAAATATAATTTCAATTTGTAGATAATTAGATGATTTTCGGTAAATAATCTCACTAGCAAGCTGCATTTTTAATAAACACCTCGGAGGCACTAATGTCTGAGAGTCCCAGCTCCATTAAATTGAATTTACTCAACTTTTATTAAGAAGAAAATTATGGATTATCATCCACTTACAGACTGGAAAATACTTACTCATTTCTGGTTCAGCAGTAAGATCAGCAGTCACAAAATTAGAGGGAAATAACCCCATGCCTTGATGGGTTTCACCTTTCCACCAGTTGGGATCACTAATGAGAAACAAAAAATATTTTTATCTCTATAAATCTCTACCTTAATAGTGTTTAACTTGCATTATTATCAGATCTGAATCCCACAACAATCCAATGAGGGAAGAAATGAATATATTATTATTACAAACAGAAGATGAACCCTCAGAGAAGATAAAGGGCTGTTAAACACAGTTCTTTATCTTTTGGAAGGCTGGTGAATGCTCTGAGGATTTAATAAAAGGTCTGAACTCTCTCTCCAAAACAGAGGTCTCTGCATTTGACTGTCAACTTCAGGTAGTTCATGAGCTCCACTGTCTATAAGGCTCTTTTGTGATAAAATAAATGGTAGGCACTTAATTCAGATCCATTCCTAAATTAGTGCTCTCTCTTGTACATACAAAATGCACATTTTTCTTGTACAAAAATGCACATTTCTCCCCCCACAAGAGACATGATAGATGACACTGTTTATAGAACAAAGCATTCACAAGGAACACACTTCCAGGTACAACTCCATGTTCACTGTTTTATCTTGGGTGCCTAGTATGAGAAAAGCTAGCAAGCTCTCAATAAACATTTTTTGAATGAATCAATGATCAAGGTTTTGTGCAATTTCCAGCTAACCAGCCCAAAATTTAATTCATTTTCTTTCACTCAAGAGAAGAGAATGTAAATGTGCTACTATAGGAATAACCTAAATATTTTTGAATTTATTCTTTAAAACTGCTTGCAAATTTTAGTACTTCATTATCAATAACCATCATCAGTAACAATTTTCAAGTAAAAATAAAGCTACAGCCAAAAACCAGATATATTGAATCATCTCCCATAGTAATATAAACATATATAATTGCACATAAAATGAATTTGTCCTACATGGATATACTATTTTTTGTGAATAAATAAATTCAATATATTATGTATTTCTTACAAATTCCGTAAATACATATGCATATTTGGTGTATTTTCTAACATTTTAACTTTACTAATTTAATTTCTAAAATTTTAACTTACTAATTTAAAAATTGATCTTATGAGATGAAAAAAAAATGAATAAACTAGTCTTCCAAATCAAATAAAAACAATTTAAACAAGAAATAAGAAAAAAATTAAACTACAAAATAAGAATACAGACAATATGACACAAGCAAAGCAACCAAATGTGACACAGAAAATATCTACATCAATATTTTTCTTATTACCTTTCGTAATGGCATTCAACAGGAATAATATGAAACACAGAAGTAATATATGTTTTCATATGAATGTCAAGTTAATATCAATTTGATATTATCCATCACCTGTCATCAAGAACTGTAATAATTTCTCCGGCTTTAAAAGTAAGCTCATTATCTTCAGCAGCTTCAAAGTCATATATAGCACGAACTTTTCGGCCTTCATGTTGGTGGTTAGTTAAGAGATTGGATGTGCTTGGGTACAAAGTAGAAAGTGTGGTTGACTGCTGCCTTTGCTCCTTCAAGGACAACTCAATAGCTAGAAAATAATGAGTTAAAAAGACTCCAAATGTTAATATATCCAACAATCCAAAGTATAAAAAAATATCTGAAGGTAAAAATGCATTCTTTTAAATGTGGAGCTGAAAACTAGGATATATTATTACATACTGAATAAAGATCATTTCATCAATTTAATTCATTCATTCACACCTGAAAGTTTAAAGAATAAACTGTTAAAAAGTTGAACAGCCATTAATGACTATTTTTACTGAATGGATAAAATTTAAATTATTCTGGGTAATAAAAAGATATTATCTCTCAAATCCAATGTTTTTATTTAGCTGCAGATATTTTAATTTTCTTTCATCTTTTCAATATATTTCTATAGCTTCAATTCCCAAAAATGATAATCACAATCACTTGCCAAGAGTCCCAAATCTCAATGAAGACTTACTAAATCAGAATGTCAGAGGTAGTATATGGGAACCTGCATTTTACTGCTCCAAAGGTAATTCTTTGTGATCAGTCTAAGAAGTAGAACGAGGAAATAACTACAATGAAGTCTCACCTATCAAATTCCCTCAAAGAGATTTCAAATGTGTCTCTTGTATTGCTTCCCTCCTCTCCCAATGGAAGTCATCACCATGTGTCACTTAGGCTCTGTAATACAACCTGAACAGACTGAGAACCCTGCTTCAACTCAAACCATAACCCCTTCATCCTTGCTACTTCTGTTCTACATTGATAAAAGACCTAACAGGAAAAAGCAAACTTTAAAACTATCCTAAGAAAATACAGGAAAGTACCTTTTAGGATTTGGGGGAAAAATATCTTAAGATATAAAAAATGCAAAATCATAACAAAAAAGCAAAAATTTTGACTATATCAAAATTTAAAACTTTAGATAAAATACACCAGTATCAAAGTTAAAGTAAATGCCACAAATCAAGAGTAGATATCTACAATAGATATTACAAAGATTCTCAATGCAGCCTATTATTATAGTAAAAAAAAAAAAAA